CCCTCCGCTGTGCGCTGCCTCTCCCCAGTGCCAGCTCGGGTGAGTGGAAAGGGAGCAGGGGGGCACCACTGCCATGCCAGTGATGGGAGGGAAAGCAGGAGCCCGGTGGCCCAGGAGCCAGCAGGAGGGGACCAGGTCTCCACAGCATCCTTGGGGCCACGTGGCCGTACAGTAGCATCTTCATGGCAAGCACAGGGTGGAGATGAGAGCACAGGCTGGGCTGGAAGGAGACTTGGAAGGGAGGTGGTGGCCCACTGTAGCGGACTTCTGTTGCCCCATGTCCTCACCCAGGTTCTTTTTTAAGGAGCTCGGGGCAAGGCAGGATTGGGCCATGGTGGGAGCTGGGTGAGAGGTGTATGGGGACAGAGCAGCTCTCTGGGTCTCCACCCAGCAAGCGGTTCCTCCAGCCCTTACCCAGCACAGCAAGCGGGGTCACGGCGTCAGGCCTGAATGGGGGGTGCCAGCACCCCAAGGTCTGTCTGGCTTAGCCCCACAGGGAGGGAGAGGGATGAAGAGATGCTCTTTGCCTTTCTCTGCCTTGCTTCCCTGCTCTGCAAGTGGGGCTACGGACAGAAAAGAGGTTGTAAAACACATAAGGATCCTTGGAAGGAAAGCAAAGGGCTGGGGTGGCTTTTTAAAATTATTTCAAAAGTCCTTATTAATGAAAGCTCAGGGACAGGGGCTGCTTTCCCACTCCCAGCGTGGCTCCTGCAGGTTTGCGGCACTCACCCTCGGCTGCACCCCCTTTCAAAACCTGCACACAGGCATCTCCTTCCCTCGCACGCGGGCTTGGCACCAGATGTGTCTCCAACCGCTCGCTGCTGTGACCTCCAGGATGCTGACTTGGAGAAATGCAGGGACGGCAAACTGTTCTTTATGGCTGGGGGAAAAAAGAAAAAAAAAAAAAAAAAAAGAAAAAAAAAAAAAAAAGAAAAAAAAAAAAAAAAGAAGAAAAAAAAAAAAAAAAAGAAAAAAAAAAAAAAAAAAAGAAAAAAAAAAAAAAAAAGAAGAAAAAAAAAAAAAAAAGAAAAAAAAAAAAAAAAAAAGAAAAAAAAAAAAAAAGGACACTTTCCTATAAACTTTCACTTTCCTATAAACTTTCCTTGGCGTTCCAAGCTCCGTGATGTTCCCTGGTGGAGGCATTGGCAGCATCAGACCACACTGCACCACTCTGGGGGATGGCAGCAGCTGAACGACCCGCACTAAAAAAACTCATAAATACCCCGTCGTGCAAATGGTAACATGTTGGGCCAATCATTGCTCCAGCAACTTTTGCTGAGGAACAGTGTGAGCCAGTTTCTGTTTAATGCAAAATGCAGTTGTGAGCACCTACTAACAGCCCGGTGCAGGACTTGGGCGTCCCCAGGCCATGGAGGGTGCCTGTGGGTGCTGTAGCTCCTGCCAGGTGTGCACTGGGGCTGCTCTCCTCCAGGCTGCGCCCCACCACGGCTGCATCCTACGTGGGCGCTGAATGCTCACCAAGAAACAGCGCCATCACCGCTAGCGTTGACCCATGAGCTAGAGAGGAGAAACGCTCCCAGCTCTTCAGACCACCTCCGGAGCCAAAGAGACCATATTGCAACCAGCCCTTTGCTGGAGCAGCCCTGGGACTGGAGCCGGGCCATCGCTGCCTTCTGCAGGACACAGCGCAGGTGTCTGCCCCACTGCTGCTCTTTAAGCCTCATTGCTAAGTAGCTCCTAACCTTTCCCTTCATCCTCTCTTTCCTGCGATGGCTGGCCGCCCGAGGAAGATGAGCGGAGGCAAGCAGGACTAGCAGCTCCCACCCAGGGGACTGGGCTAATGTGATTTACTCCAGTCTCCACCAGCTGGGTCTTGGCTGGGGGAAGATGTGCACAGACCGTCGGCAAGTGCATGTCCTTGGGCTGCAAGCCCAGAGGAGGAGGCAGAGAAGCCTGAAGAAGGGGTTAAAGCCGAGCCTCCGAGCGTGAACAGCAGGGAGGCCCGGATGCAGAAACCTTCACACAAAATGGGGTTGGCAGTCGGGGCTGGTTGAAGGCGCTTGGCTGTTCGCTATTAAATAATGCAGCCTGATTGATTGGGCTGAAAAGTGCTGTGCTGCGGGGTCAGCTTGCTGGGGTTATAGTTCTCTGCTTAGATTGATGATCCTCAAAGGTCGAATTCAGAAAGCAATTCCCTGGTAAAATTGATCCTTTGGATAACAAAACTTTTGCACAGTGGCGAAGGGCCGAACAGCGAGAAATGTAAGTGACCCAGGCGCAGGCAGGCAGGGTGACAGGCTGCCTCTGCTTTCTCTTTATTTAATTTACCTTGTTTACACTGATTAGGAATTGAGAGTCTTCTCTGGGAAGAGCAGTGCTCCATCAGCCCTACACGCAGTGGCTGGGGGACATCCATGAGCACCCACCCCTGTCCCTATCCCACTGGCAGGGGAGCATGCGGGTGCCTTTGCAGGGGCAGGAGGCAGCTGGGGGCTGTCCCGGGAGCTGGTGCTCAGCTCCCAGCCCTCCTCAGCAGCAAGCGAGCAGTGTGTGTGTACAAGCAGGCACGTCTGACTGCCTCCTGCACGCATCCGTGCCTCGCTCTCCCGGTAGCGAGAAGGCTGGGTCCCGCTGCTTGGCGGAGGTTTTGTAGCTGGAGCCAAATTAACGGTGAGCAGATTTCACCCTCCTGTACGGCAGCAGCTTGGAGCCAGCAGAAGCACCCCGAAGCAGCTGCTTGGCCCTCGGCCGGGGATGCCAGGAGCAAGGATGTGCTACAGGCGGAGGGGGTGATGGAGGCTGCCCCAGGCCACCGCAGGGGTCCAGGTGGTGGTGACCCAGGGCTGATGTCCTCACTGCGAGACTAGCGGGGTCAAGGACAGGATCCAGGCGCTGCCCTCCACATCATCCCAGACTTCAGAGAAAACAAGAGGGATGCCAGGCCCTGCCTTCCTTGTAGCCCATCCCCTGGGGCTCTTAAACTCCCCCTCGGCTGGATTTTAAGACTGCGCCCTGGAGCTGGCTCCATCCCCTTGCTCCTGCCAGCGGTAGGAGGGAGAAGAGCTGCAGCTCCCAGACAGAAGCTTTTGCTCTGATTCAGGCTGGGCCCAGAGCGGCTGCGGTGAGGCTCTGACCTGCTTTAACCTGCTATCTTGCCTGCTTGCCTCCCGTCTGCTCATTTTGAAGCGAGACAAGGAGGCCGCGCCGGGTGGACGCTGAATAATTCAGAGTCAGGCTCCGCAGCACCCCAGGGCTGAGCATCACCTCTGCCAAAGGGCTGGGACAGCTCAGCTGAAATCCTTCCTCACCAGAGGCAGAGGGGACACGAAGCGGCTGAAATACAGCATCCCTCCTGTGCAGGTACCGGCCAAAGCCGCTTCCTTCCTGCGGACGCTCAGATTCATGGCTTGCTCCCAGAGCACTGATGCTCGCAGTGCTCGGAGGCTGTTAGTGCTTTCAGCCGTGACGCGGCATCTCCGGCTCTCGCTAACACACAGATTCAAGCGGAGCATGCTGAGTGTGTCTGCCTCTGCTCCATGGACCACATTTTCTTCCTTCCTCCCTTTTAGAGACTGCAATATTCCCTCCCCTGCTTGGTCAGAGACAGGGCAGGGTTGTAAGACGGGGAGAGAGACCATTCATCCAGCTTATGCTTAGCCTCTGAGCGGGGTTTGCTAGAATTAAGGACAGGGAGGGGAGGGGGAGGGAAAAAAAAAAAAATCATACATGAGGTCAGCTTATCCAGCCATGCGTAAGGAGGAGCCCAGCAAAGGCAGCCTCAGTGGGTCAGGCAGGCGGCTGGGGAGCATCTTTGGGGGCTCCAAGGGAGAGGGGGAGAGGCACCAGGAGCTGGTGGGCATGCGCGGCGCCGGCAGCCGGGAGGGACCCGGCTCGTGGCTCCCAGCCTAATCCAGGTTGTTTATCCCAGCACACACAGAGGATGAGAAGAAGCAGGTCATGCCTCCTCTATCTTCTCTGCAAGTGGTTTGTTCCCCTCAGTTTTGCATCTTTTGAGCAATTAGCCCAGCAAAACGAAGCACTGCCCGGTCAGACTTCTCTACCCGTTCACATAAGGCACAGCATTACTGTTTTCTAATGGTTCTGCTTCTGAGAGTGTAAATTATTGCACAAAGCAGTGAAAACCCAGCAGGCTGTGCTAGGGATCCGCTGTCTGGAATGAAATGAGAGATTTTGGTCCCTGAAGTCTCTGTCTGATGGCCTGAGCTCGGGCCCGGGAGTCACTAGAGCCACGTGTGAGTTATGGGCTCAGCCTCCATGCTCTGTGCAAGTCACCTCCGGAGTCTGAGCAACAGGAATTATTGTGCACGGAGATAATTATTCCCTGCATACTGCACTACAGCTCATTAAAAGTTTGTTAATGTTTGCGAATTGCTGAATAGTGTTTTTCATTGTTGCCTTCTCTGATGAGGCGGGGACTAAAAGGCAGATTTTGATGGTGACTTGTTCTCTGTGTTATTTTGGTCACAGCAGGCTGGGGCTGCGCTGCACGTAGGGAAAAGGGTTTGTGTTGCGCAGCTTCACACCACGGGAGAAAACGCTCTTGACTTTAGCACGCTGCGCAGGGGTCAAGGGGCTGAGCCCCACCAGTGTTAGCTATGCTTCTCCATCTAAAGCTCGAGGCTGTCCTCTCTGCCTCCAAGTAAATGCCTACATCTGAGTCAATCACTCAGATTTCTGAAAAAATATGTGTGACTCCTCACTGGAGTCTCAGCTGGAGACGTTGACTTACCATTAAACGATCTGTGCCACTGCAGTCGGATGGTGGGAGTAAAGTATCTCTCATCTTGGAATAGAGACTGCAGATCCACCTTGGGCGAGGATGTGGACATCGTAACCCCAGCACCAGATGCCTGGGGAAAACAGCTGAGTTCAGTGAAAAAATCCTGCAGAAGGAACAGGAAAGGGGTAACTGGCCCAGCTTCACCTCTACATTTTCATGCACACGGACAGCACTACGCCAGGGGCAAGGAGGAGTTGCAGTAATACCTGACAGCTCTTCTCCCGTCTTCCCCTTCCAGGTGTAAATGCAACCTCCACGCTAACCTGTGCACCTTCAAAGAGGGCAGCCTTCAGTGCGAGTGCGAGCACAACACCACAGGGCAGGACTGCGGCAAGTGCAAGAAGAATTTCCGCTCCAGGTCCTGGCGAGCAGGATCCTACCTGCCTCTCCCCAACGGGTCCCCCAATGCATGTAAGTAACCTGCAGCGAGCCAGCCCTGGCCGCGCTCCCACCTTGGGCTGCACAACGCCCACAGATGGGAGCGGATTCTCGTCTTGTCCTTCTCCATCAGTGCAGGATGCTCAGCTTTCAAAAGGGAAGCGGGTATTTACCCGTGTCTTGGTACACAGAGAAATGAGAGAGGATCTGGGTGGATGCAGAGGTGATTTGTTGGCTACTGGTAGATGAGTGATGAGTCCAAATGATGGTCGAGAATAGGAAGGATGACCTTGGGCCAAGATATAGGTCCATGGCTTTGTGGCAATGCAAATTACTGTCCTTTGAAGAAGACGTTATTTAGCCACAGTGGAGCACTGACCATGGGGGGCTCATGGGCTCAGCGCTGGCACTGCTCAGCTGTGGGAGTGCAGGTTGCTTTCTGGATTGCTTTCTGGCTCCCGTTCTGTGTGTGTCGGTATTTCAGGCAAGCGCGGCGAGCTGCCGTCCCTCTGCGCAGCTCCAGTCTCATCCAATTGCCTGCTGGAGCAAGGCACTGACAGAAGCAAAGGCGCGCAGATGAGATGAAGGATGCATACCCACCATTGTTCGAGCAGGGGAATTGGGGCAGGAAACATCACAGATGGGCCAGTTTCTCCTGGGTTTCTGTCCAGTCCACATTAGCAGACTTGTTTAAATGTCACAGAGCCACAGTAGCCGCTCCAGCCTTTCAAACAGCAGCTCTGAGCATTACCAAAGAGAATCTTTTCCCTGCCTCCCCCCAAATTTTTTGAAAGATTTATGTGCTTTAAGATGATCAAAGCTGAAATTCAGGCTCCGAAGGCCGTGATGGGAATGTTTTGTGTGTGCCAGGGCTGGTAGATGAGCAGGTTCTTTGAAAGGGAACGAGCTTGTCAGCTCCCACCAAGCGGCTGCATTGCTTCAAAGGAGCCTGGGAGAGTTTCTGGTGTTGACAGGCACAGACATGCTGTTCTCTCTCTTTCCCTCCCCTCCATTCCTTGTGTCTCTTCCTATTTCTCTTTCTCCTCTGCTCTTTCTTCTCCCATTCATCTCTCTTCCCCTCTGTCACTCAGTCTTCTTCCTCCCCCCGACCCCGACTCTCTCTCTGTTGCTTCCTCCTCTCCCATCAACATCATCCTCTTCCTCTGCAACAGAGGCATTTCTCTGAAGTCCTCTCCTCTTGGTGGTCCTGCTTCTTCCATCACTGGTCCTGTGCTTTATGTTCACGCAAAGCTGAGACTTTCCATGATTCATCTGCTTGGTACAGTAGAGAGGACCATGGCCTTTAGCCTCCCGGGTGCCAAAAGCCAGAAGCTGGTCCTTGGATGGCCTTCGACTGGCGGGTTTGAAGCCGGTGGCTTTGCAGCGTCCTGTTGAGCAAGTGCTGCGATGGGAAGGGTGTTCAACCCTTCTCGCCCACGGAGAACTGCCCCAGGCGCAACAATCTGTTTCAGACCCTACAGCTTGTACTTAGCCCAGTGAACCTCAGAAGATGTGCTTGTCCTTTGCTGGGCTTTAACGGTAGGTCAAGGAAGTGGTTAACAGAAAAACCCATCAGCAAGGACCACGCTGGTTTTTCTTCCCCAGGTGAAAGGCTTGAGATGCCAAGACCCCGGACAGCACTGTCTGGTTGCCTCTGTGGTTTGACAAAAGCAGCTTTTAAAATGTTGCAGCAAACTGATATGAGCAAGACCCCTGCTAATTAACTGCTGTTCGGTCCCGCGTCGTGTATCTGTTTGATCTTCTGCTGGTATCAGAGCCGACGGCGTCCTGCTTCCAGTGACCGGGCTTCTTCTTGTTTTTTTCCAGGTGCAGCTGCAGGCTCAGCCTTTGGCAGTAAGTAAAAACATAACTGAAATGCTGGCATTTAACACCTCGGTACATGGTCCTTGCGGATGTCACTAGGAAAAAAAAGAATTGTTTTTTTCTGTCCATTATCATTTTCCAGGCAATAAGTCTTCCCTAATTATGCCTCATTTTCTGTCCTGTCAAAGAGTCTTATATTTTTTTCCTTTGACTTCAGTACCCTCATTTTGTCTCTTCCTTTGGCATGGTTTCCCCCCATGAGGTTCGTTAGCATGGCAGCCGGAAAGGAAATAAAAAAAGACTCTTCAAAACCACCGGTGCTCGCTGTGAACTTTTCCCCCCCAGTATTGCAGACTTCTGCTGTGAGAAGGAGCTGGGTTTGAATTATTTGGCATAGCATCCAGTCTGGGTCACCTTGGGCTATCAATAAAAAAAACCAGAGAGCGTGTGTGTACATCTGTATGTACACGTGTATGTATATGAACATACGTCTATGAAGTGTCGGCAGCAAAGACGGTAGAGCTCAGCGGGGATTTCTATTGAAAGATTGATGGTATCGTAGGACTCCTTATTTAACAAAGCTGGAGGTAGTTTGATATCAAAGACTCTTGAGTTTTGGGTAAGCAGAAGCCTGGGTTCGACTTTTGTGGCTCGGAACTACCTTCCAGAAGAAACAAATCGGAGAGCTGAATGAATAATGAATTCTTTGGTTTGCAGGCAAGTGGAGAGAATTGGAGGAGAAATAGTTTCAGAGAAATGCAAATGCAATTAAGAAAAATGCACCTAATTGAAACGTGGAGGGGAAGGGTTTTCTGGGTAAATGAACCATATTTAGATTTTAAGCAGTTAAATTTAAATGGTTAAACGTTTCAAATAAAAATTAAAGGTCTCCCTTAAGAAACTTAGGATTTAAAAAAATTAAGTGTTTAACAGTCCCAAGTATTCTTTGCTTTTCTGGTCAAAACCATTGTGATAACTCTTTTTTTCCCCCTTAACAGAGCTCAGCATTCTCAGTGCTACCTGTGTTTCACTGGAAAATGTTTCCCATAACATTTTTCTGCTAGGGAGAAGCTGGGGGGGATGCTGGGAGCGATGTGCAGGAGGTGGACAGGAGGGATTTGTGTCCAAGGCCAGTTAAGGAGAGATTATTGAGCCTGCATAGGAGACTAGAAGTGACCTAAATTAAGTATTTAAACTAGCTCAGGGCTATTATGAAATTAAGCATGATAATCTGCATGAAGCAGTGGGACAAACAAGGACAGGAGGGCAGCAGGTGTAAGTTAAGGAGGAATTTGTGTTCCGAGTGTTTTTTCAGTTCAGGCTGTTGTGGCGAGCACGGTCGGGTGGGCACCGCACCCGGGGTCGCTCCTGCTCAGCTCCACGGGGGCTTGCTGAGGTTAAGCCATCAATTAATTTGCCCTGCTGAACGAAGGGCGCCAGTGGAAATTAATACATGCCGATGGTACGGGTTGGTTTCGATGGTGCCGGGTGGTTTGCTGCCTGGGGGGTGGCAGAAGGGAATGGTGCTGTTTATGGAGCCGGGGTAGGCAGGGCTCTGCCAGCTGGCACGTAGGTGTCAGGCAGCGGAAGCACACCCCCCGGCAGGGCGGGCTGGGGGCTCCTCTGCACCTCCCGCCCGCTCTTCGCCCCATCTCTGCCCAGGCATGCTTTCATTTCCCCTTTTCAGCTTAATTGGCAATCAGTTTACGATAGAGCTGTAAGTATTTAAGCCAATATCTGCACCAACAGAGTAAGCTGATACAGCCACAGCCTCCGGCCCCTGCACGCATACATGTGCTCGCTGCATCCAGCGTCATCGAGCCAGCATCGCCTTAATCCTCTTGGTGCCCCAGTTGTAATCGCACTGAGAAATTGGTCACCAGTTCAGGCTGTTGTGGCGAGCACGGTCGGGTGGTGCCGCACAGCAGCGGCAGCCTCATGGGCATGCGGGCTGGGAAGGAAACCCTCTGTTCCCCCCGAGTAGGTGCCTCCCACCTCTTCTCTTTGCTTGCTAGCGTATGAGCGACCGCAGCAGGTTACCACCGCAAAAACGTCCACCACAACAACGCCCACCACCACCACAACCACCACCACCAGCATCCCCCTACCTGCCACCACCACCCAGCCAGGTGGGTGTCACACTCCCTGCCTCGCTCGGAGGGCCAGGGCTCCACCGCCGGGCTCCTCTTTTCGGCTGCTTCCCATCCCGGCTCCTCCGGTGGCGGTGGGGAACGCATGGGGCTGCCATGTCAATGGCCCTGGTTATCTGCTCTGTAGGATGATAAAGGGACATGGATAAAAAACACCCTGACTTGGTTCACATCCCCCAGCCTCTGAGCAGTCCTGGTTTGCTTTTTCTATTCAGTCCAAGGACACTTTGACACGTGTAACATGAGCTAGGAACAAGCTTTGTGGTCCCCATAAGCAGGGAGCCAGCCACAACGGGTCCACCTCAAAGCCAAGAGACAACCATACCATGGGTTGACATCCCCCCCCACCGGCTGATGATCTCACTCTGTTGCTCTGTTATCATCAGGGCAGCAAGAAGTAAGTCAGGACTGGATACGGGGCAAACAACGCTTTTCCCTTTTTTCTCTCAATTTTTTTTAAAAAGAAAAGATTTATTTTATCTGCTCTGTAGGATGATAAAGGGACATGGATAAAAAACACCCTGACTTGGTTCACATCCCCCAGCCTCTGAGCAGTCCTGGTTTGCTTTTTCTATTCAGTCCAAGGACACTTTGACACGTGTAACATGAGCTAGGAACAAGCTTTGTGGTCCCCATAAGCAGGGAGCCAGCCACAACGGGTCCACCTCAAAGCCAAGAGACAACCATGCCATGGGTTGACATCCCCCCCCACCGGCTGATCTCACTTTGCTGTTGCTCTGTTATCATCAGGGCAGCAAGAAGTGAAGTCAGGACTGGATACGGGGCAAACAACGCTTTTCCCTTTTTTCTCTCAATTTTGCTTTTTTAAAAAGAAAAGATTTTCAAAATCCATCCCTCCTAGAGCCACTTGGCAATGTTGTCCTGCACAGGGCTGGCATGGCTGCAAGAGATGCTCTCTTGCAGCTCCATCACAAGGCAGGGCAGGGCAGCAATGAAGGCTTTACTGTCCCACTGTAAAATTAAACCAGTCTTGCCTGGCTGGAAGGAGAGGGGAATTGTACCCCATCCTGCTCTATCCCCGACCTCCACATGCGATACCAGAGCAGGCAGGAGAGTTGCCCCCGCTGTACTTGCTGGGTGCTGCTCCCAGAGCGCGATGGGGAAGGCTGGGTGCTGCTCTGCCCCACCGGCCGCTCGCTCGGACAGGGAACCTTCCCCGTGGAGGACTGCTGCCTCAGCGCGCGAGCGGCCACCTCCTGCCACTTACCGCCAGACTCAGAGCAGCCCGCAGGCTTTGCTAAGTCATGCCAGGGACGGGACGTCAGGTCAAGGGAGAAGCTGGCTCTGTCCTTGCTGGCTCTCCCAATCCTGCATCAAGTCCCTGTGGCCAGACTCAGGGATGTAATGCAGGCTGGCTGCATCTTCTAGGGCAGTTTTCCGAGGGCAGAGCCGCACTCTAACATTCCCCAGGCGGGCACTGTACAAGCAGCCAGGGAGTTTGCGGGGCTGGAGCTCACACACACGCCAGAAACACCCTTTCCTAATTTCTAAAATCATCCCGTGGAGGAAAACTTTTGTCCTTTTTCTGGGGGTTCCTCCTTCCCTCCCCCCGTGAACAAGGAGACAGCGTTTTCACTTGTCTTTTGGAAGTGAGCAGATAAAACTTAACAGCAGGACTTTTTTTTTAAGCTTCTCATGGAGGAATTAGACACGCATTCCTCCCCTTGCCATGCTTTCTGGGCCTGATATTTCCCAGGAGGACGTTTTACACCCACAGTATGTTAGTAACAGTCTGTCTGGGGGAGCTGCCAGAAGCCAGTCAAAGGGATGAGGAAACTTGATTGCATGTTTATGCAAATATAGATATATTCATGGAAGTACCCTGCTTGAGTAGTTAATCAGGAAGCTGAGGGTTTAGCTCCAACTTCCACGGAGTTGGAGTGACCCTGGGCAACAGAGTGCAAGTCTCTTGACTGTTAAGAAGTGCTCCTCACATAGGTCCATGTTGTACATGTGCAGGAGGAGGTTCATCCACCACCCCTGCCCAGAGCTCCCATCACCACGGCCCCGGCAGTGACAGGAGATCACGTCTACATCTGCACCACACTCTTGGGGTCATTTGATTTTTATCCATGCTCACCTGTAGCCACATTTTAGGTCTGTTTTTCTGCAAGTGCTGTGTACGTGTGGGTGGTGCGTGTAGCGTCTACTTTGTGTGTGATTTGCAGTGCTCTGCCTCGCGTCGTACATCTGGGGCGGGCAGGACGGCATCTGTGTGGGCTTTGGGGGTGGTGGGGGTAGTCGCTCCTGCCAAACTGCTCTGAGGGACCTGGGAGACATCATGCACCTTGGGGTTTATTCCTTCTCCAAAACCTGCTTCCTGGGCAGAGAAAATATTTTCATGCTTTCATTAACTGATGGCTAAGGACAAAATATATAAATAATAAATAAATCGCAGTCCAGCCGCCACATCTCTGGCTTGATACGGTCAGGGCTGAGCTCGGAGCTCCTCACCCCCATCCAGACCCCCATCCATGTTTCTGCACAGCCAGGTCCAACCCCAGAATGCTGTGCCTGGGGATGGAGACAGCCCCTGGAGGGGCTGCTCCAAATACAAAGGAAGTCAGGGCCACCCAGCAGCTCAGGGACCTGCTCTCTTACATGGGCACCATGCTGGGTTTGATGCCAAAGGTCCATTGTGTGCCTTTGACCAGCAATAAGGAATCAAGGCACAGCCTAATTCTGATCTGCTTTTGACCAGAGACGTTCCTCCCCCTCCAGTCCCGCAAAATGTAAAGTACTTCTTTAAGTACCATGACACCCCAAAGGGGCTGTGAATGTAACTCGCTTAGACCTCAGGGAAAACACCCTGCTAAAGAGGTGACCCTTCGAGCTCCTGGTAAGACACCCGTTTGCAGGAGACGCAATAACCCCAAGCTGGGTCAGAGTCCCAAAGTGAGATACTCTGTCATTACCTCCCTTCTAAATTTTAGAAGCATTATACAAATCCCTCCCTGCTTTAAAGCCAGCTCAGCCAGCCAGCCATTTAAAAAAAAAGTCCTGTTGGGGCCCTGCCCCATCCCTGTGCTGCTTCACCCTCTAATTTACACACTGTCTTCTGCCCTCTGAATTTCTGCTTCCCACCATAAGCAAGCATCATCAGACTAGCCTCTGAGTTCGCTGCCTCTGTGCCCGTGAGAGAAACACAGAAAAAACCAGGTATTTAAAGCCAGACCAATGTGTTTTTCCCTTCTCCTTCATGCCTCCACACACTAGTGGGTAGCAGCAAGGCAGAAAGCAACGTAGCACGTAGGCTAGAGGAGTAGATTAGATTTGGGTTGTCTCTGGGTTGCATGGATCTGCCAGACATCCGCTTGCTTTGGCTGCTCGTGGTGTTTTCCGTGGTCAAGGTGGAGCTGCGGTCATGTTCGTAGGACGCTTTTGTGCTCGGTCGCCTGTGGTGAGAGGGGGGAGAAGAATGAGTTTATGGGCACGGTCTGTGGTCTGAAGGCAGTCAAGGCTGCCAAAATGGGTAGAAGGACGGGAAATCGCAGTTACCCTAAGGAGGATGAATTAAGTGCTATTCTCATTTGCCTTCTGCAGTTCTGTTATTTCAAAACCTCCCTTGAAGCCTGTCAAATTCTTCCTTGCCATTTGTTACATTTTTCCCACGTTCAAAATAAGCAAAAAAAGCTTTTTTTTTTTCTTTCTGCTTCCATTCCCCCCCCCAGTTTGTAGCAGTTTCAGCAGTGCCAGTTCACCTTTGGGAAAAACAAAACCAACCTGAGCCCTGCTTGATGGTTAAGAGCTCCAGCAGAAAGAGAGCACCAAAAGCCTGGCTTTGTGTAGGTCCTGCAGAAACGGGACCCCGCGTTTATGTTTTGAGAAGGACTTTTTCAGGGTCCTTCCCCACCACTCCAGTGCTGTTTCCCCCCATGGTTTTTGCTGTAAAGCGTGACTTCTTGGATCAATTTATTCTGCTTCCCCAGAAACCCACCAAGACCAGCAGTTTTCCTCAGGGCTGATACAAGCCCCCGAGATAAGAGCTGCCCAGTGTTTCCCATTTGTATGAACTGGGTCTGGGGGTGAAACGTGTCTTTCCCCCTCCCGAAATGTAAAACTGTCCATTAATGTCCCAGAGCTCCAAGGGAAAGGTTCTCGGGATAACGAGCATTAATAATTTTCCTGGCTCTGTAAACGCGATGGAGTGGAGGTGTATGTGAATGACTAAAAAGCAAAATGCCTTCAGGGCTGTTTTTTATTGTGACTCTAATTAAACCCTTGCCAATTTGCACAGGGCTTTTCTCATATTCTCTTTAACACCGTATTAATATCAATTGGTTTCCACTTTCCAGCTGAAAAGGACAATGTCTATCACCTTCTCTTAGAGCTTGTCATTAAAAAAAACCCACTAACTTTTTTTTTTTCTTTTTTATTCTGCATTGTTTATCATCCCCTTGACGAGGCTGGGAAATCACATTTCTCTCCTACTCGGGTTTGTCCTTTGAAACTTGGCAAGGATCGAGAGATTTTTTTTTTTCCCTCCTCCTCCTTATGTTACCCAACTGGAGCTTGAAATTAATAATATGGCGTTTAAAATTTTATTCCTTGGTTTGTTTTCTAGCAAACCTGAAGATTATTACCAATATTGAGGAGACGGGGAGGGGTATGCAGCCAGTGGGGGTGAGGGTTTGCAGGGAAATCAAACAAGTGATCTATACATTTCTTGCTGGTTTAATTTCTCTGCAGTGGCTTGCAAATTCTTTAATTGGTATTTCTGAGGGACGAGCAGGGCCTGAAGGAGGGCCTAGAAGTTTGGATTAGCAACTAGGACTTCGTGCCTCCGTCGTAGGACACCCGGGCTAATTCTCAGTTCCGTTATTTCCAAGCAGAGAGGGGTGCAGATCAGTCGCCGAGATCCTTAGGCAAACACAAGAGCAAAACGCCGTGCGTGCAGCCGGGCTGAGAACGGGCAGCTCAGCACACCGCTGCCCTCCTGCCCTTTGCGTCGCAAGGGCTGCCCGGCCCCTCCAGTGCCCGAGGAGGCACCAGCTGCCCAATGCCAGCAGCAGCACTTGCATCGGGGGGGGGGGGCAAGGCACGAAAACCTGCGTGGCCCAGGGTTGGGTCGGTTTTGTCCTCCAAAGCGCTGGCCCTCCATCAGAGCGCTGCAAAGCTCCTTGCTGGTTGCCAGCTCCCCCCAGCACGGCCAGTAACACAGCTTTCCCCTTTGGTCGCTGCAAGGCTACACCGGCTTGAGGGCGGCTGCCCCGCTGCAAGTGGGCTCTCCCCTGGCCAGGGCCGGCCCAGGAACAGAAGGTAGGAGATGTGTGGCTGAGCTGGGTCCTGCCAGCGAGCACCAGCTCCCAACGCTCGGCGAACGCTTTAGTTTCTAGCTCTGCGTCTCTGTTTTCCATGTATCTCTCTCCTCCTCCCACCTGGGAAAAAACTCGGGGTTTGTCTGTGCCTGACACGCAGCTGGGAATCTGGTGAGGCTGGATTGAGCCTCAGGGTTTAGTCGTATACATGAAAGATGAGGACGGTAAGTGGTAGAAGAGATTGTTCACAGCTTGCTGCTGGGGTGAACGGAGAGAATCATGGAAATCTTGTCGTCTCCAAAGACCGGAGTCTGTTTGTAGAGCAGAATAGCTTTGTAAATAGATAGGTCTGTGTCATTTATAGCATAGATGCCACCTTATGTATTTCCTTGCTTCAGGTCTCCTACGTGACTGCCTAAGGTGAGCTGCTCCAGGTGGGAACCTTGGGAGGCTTCACGCTGGCTGTTGAGGCTGAAGCTTCTCCTCCTCAGGGTTCCCACCAGCACACGTGCTTTGGCAGTTGCCTGTTGGTGCTCAGCTCGTTTCCCATCCGAGATGCCTGTAGCTCGCTCCAGCTGTAGACGTTAGCATCCCTTCCCGTGCAGAACATAACAACTGCTGAAGCTGGGCCCAGGACACAACCCAGTGTTTGGAAATACTCTACTGGGGGGCAGAAAGTGCTGAAATTGAAGCTCTTTGGAATTGTTGTGCTTTTGGGCCTGTCTCTGGCATCACAGAGAGACAAAACTGTATTCGATACAGTAGCAAGGCCTACACCATGGGCATCAATGCCAAGTGACGCTGACAGTCTGTGCTGAACAAGGGAGGCTTCTGAGTCTTGACAGTGGTCTGCAGATTTAGCTTCTCTCCATGCTTGGGCAATGTAATGACCACATGCCAACACTTGCCCATCCAGCAGCTCCCACACCCTCCTTTCAGGAGTATTTTTTCTGTCTCTCTTCACACTTAAAGACTCTAATTTCCAGGAGACTTTGTCTCTCATTCCTGCTTCAACACATCCTCAACCAGATATGGCTCCATCAGCCCACCCTAGATACCTGCCTAGAGCTTCCAGTGTCCCTTTGCCACCTTTTTAAGCAAACAAGAGGGGGATCTGTATTAAATCTGATGTTCTCTCTACCTGATGCCACCATAAGCTGTTCAGCGCCCACCAAACACAGCAGCACTTGGACCCAAGCCGAAGCCACCAGACCCTCCCAAGAACATTCGAGGTAAGGCCATGCCTGTCCCCAAGGACGGGGCAGGACAGGTTTCTCCCCCAGTGCCCGCAGGCCAGGACAACCCACCCATCGTCGGCATGACCCACCATCGTACAATCTGCTCTCCTACTCAGAGGGTCCACCTCAGCTCAGTTCTGCTCATCCAGCCCCATGGAGGTCTTTTTGGAGACCTGTTTGGGGCTGGGATGGCTGCAGAGGTGTCCCTGGGCCCCAGGAGAGCCCACGGGCACCTCAGCTGCTTTGGGAAGGGGTTTCTTGCCACAGGGTGAGGGGCACGCACCTTCCCCCAGCCAAGATTAATTGGGCAAGATTAATTGGGCTGATCAGCTGCTCTGGCCCAACAGGGCCAAGCCTCCTTAGCAGATCACCCTGCTCCCAACACCCCGTGGAGCCTCCTCACGGCCATGGCCCCCTCCTCATGACAGATAGGCACAACCATGGGGGCTTCTATGCAGGTATATGGCCCCCAGGACCACCTGCAGCACCCACTGCAGAGGTGTGGGGCTTTGGAGCACCCCGGGGACCCACTGAGCTGCTCCTTCACCTCTGGGCTGCCCCACTTCCCTCATGGCGGGGACAACAGGCCCCAGTCCCCCTGTGCTGTACTGGTCTGCTGCCAAGTGCCTGTGAGGAGAGGCTGCCATGTTCTGTGCTCAGCCATCATGCCAGGGGACGGAGGAGGCCGTGGTGGCAGAGCAGGGCCTGGGCACCATGGTGGCCTGTCATGGCCATGGAGGCTGGAGAAGCCATGTTGGTGGAGGAGGGTCTGGACACCGTGCCAGCCCACCATGGGACCAGGGGAAGACATGGAGACCTGAGGAGGCCCCGGTGCCACAGCAGACTCACAAATGGCATCAGAGGCAGGAGTGGGCCCGCTCTGACCATGGCTGAGCCTTAGGGGTGGGGAGCATGGCCACCTCCTGCCATCGCTATCACTGTGGGGTTGTGACCAGCACCAGTGGGATGTAGCTGGCAATGCCTACCCAGCACCTCCCTGAGCACCACGGCGCTGTGCAAGGGCTTGCACCCCACAAAAACTGGTGGGACCCATTCCTAAACACCCTGTGGGATCGCAGCGCTGCTCAACCTTGCCCCTTACTGGGGTTACCAAAGCACAAAACCCCCCAAGCACCAAACCCCATCAGCTCGATTTGGAAGCGATGGCCTTTACCCCCAGCGCCCCGGTCATTCTGTGTGGGACGGGGGTCTGGCTGGCAGCACAGCCCCGAGGAAGCACCGTCCTGGCTGGGGCAGCCCCTTATCCTGAGGGATTATCCCAGACCAACTGTGCTGGGCTGGCCCTGGGAGCCCTCTCCCCACCACAGCACTCAGATGTGTTTTATCCTCTCGCGTAGCAGCTCCAAAGAGCAAAGCAGGGCGCACAGCACACTCTGCAGGCAAGAGGCACGGGAAGAAGCCAGGTATGTGCTGGCGGGGACAAGCTGGGCTGGAGCGGCGCGTGCTTGGCAGGACCCTGTAGCAAGCCCTGCCAGATACCACCTCCGTAGCGCTTGTGGTCTTAGCTGTACTCCTAGCAGCTTTTTGGGTGCCGGTTGGCATGACCTCCATCAAACTGAGGCCGTGGCCAGTAGATTTCTTTTTAAGCTGTTTAGACTGGTAGATCCTTATCCTGAATAACCCAATTCGTGCCGCTGAACGTGTGTAACGGGGGGATGTGCGAGTAGCTCCTCTGCTTCAGCCCCCGGCTCCGCACATTGCAATAGCGTGGTGCATTGAGTTTTTCATGCATCAAACTTTGAGGAGGGGAGAAGAAGAGGAGAAATCTAGCAGCTACCAGCTGGCTGGTGCAGAAATAGACACCGGCGCTGCCAGAGCAGTGTTCTTGGCTCGGCTCGGCATTGTTCTCGTAGCAGAGCTGCTCGCGGCAGGGCAGGATGTGGAGCGGTGCTGAGCGGTGAGAAAAAGCGTGTCTCTGATTTTTCTTAAGCATCCTCAAAGAGCTCAAAACTCATCCGGCTCAAACCAGACTCTGTCCCAGTGGCTCCTATTGAAACATATAAAGGTAAGAGGAGGGAGCGCGGTGCTCCAGGGCTCCTAGTCTTCCTCCAGGTGATGTGGCCCATCAGCCTCCGACATGGAGAAGATGGGGAGGGTTTGCCTATCCGAGTCGTGATCAGCTGTGTGTAGGAGTGCATCCCTAGGGTGAAACAATGCTTGGGAACTGCAGCAGCCAGAAGAATTTGAGCTGAAATTATTTGGGATTAGTCAAACAGGCAGAGGTTGTTTCATAGAGTGTCAAGATTACCACGGACTCTCAGCTCCTCCTCAGGCAGCTGTGAACCATGGGGAAACCTCTGCCCTGCTCCATCTTCCCTGGTCATCATTTCATTGAGACAAGTCTCCTCCTCCAGTCACATGTGCATGCCAACCCACACCCTTCCCTCCCATCCTTGAATGTTTAATGCTAGAACTTGGAACAAAACCCCAGCTCCAAGCCTCCCTCCTCCTTCTCTCCGAAGGCTGGGGAAGCTCAGACATGGCTGACACTGTTTCTGCTCACGTTATCGTCTGCCAGTGCTGGCTGGGACACCTCCTGACCAGGGCCACAAGGCAACTAGGGTACCTCCTCTCCTCCAGCATTATACTTTTAAACTTCCAGAAAGATCCAGCGTACTGAATCTGACATTGCAAGGTAGTCACCATCCCATCATGGTAATAAAAAGCAAACACAAGAAGCAAGTAATCAAATTCCTCTGGCTACAAATTAAACCTAGCTGGTTGTTTTCCAACACAGGCCCACAGCTGAGAGAGGTCAGCCCTGGGGACAGGAGCAGTGCTCGGCCGAGTGATGGTGGCATCTCCCACCCCGCCAGCACCCTTCGCAGGCGTCCCTGTGCTGTACCAGGCAGCCCTGGTTCAAACCCTCACACGCTTCCTCACCATCTTTTGAGGGAGCCCACGCAAGCCATGCTTTCTTGCATACACTCATTTTAAGCCTTTAACCTGAGAGTCACCGTACTTCACAACTCGTATTGATTTGGGAGGTACAACAGCAAGGGGGACGCTGAGAAGCGACGCTGGGGGGAAAAAGCCAGAGAGGCGGCGAGTTTTTACCTGGGCACGCAGCAGCTTCAGCTCCACTTCAGCCTTGTCCCAGGGCTTTCCCGTCACTGGAGGCAGCGAGCGCTGCTGCACCCTCTGCCAGCCCCGTCCCATGGGCCCGTCCCCTCCTTGCCGCAGCAAGGCCAAGAGTAGCCTTCGGCAGAGCCTTTGCTGGGGCTCTGCACCCCAGCACAGCTCCCTTGCAGGTCCTACAGCCCCCCCACAGCCAAACCCAGGCACCAAGTTGGGCTCTGCTCATTAACAAGGCAGCTCTTTAATGAACACCTGACTCCCCTCCACAGCCCACTGACTGCTCCCATGATTATGCATTTCCTTAAAGAGATCATGTCCTGGGGCAGCCAGGGGCTGGCTCCCGCCTGTCCTCACCCCAAGGGGACAGAGCCCCCTGACCCCTCTCTGGTCTCTGAGCAATGACTTCCAGCCTGATCCCCCCCCATGGCGGTGAAGAACGGCAGCCGCTGTGCGCACTCATCCAGCCCACCCCAGCCCCACGTCGGCAGTGGCCATGGCGTTTCACCCGAGCAGGAGCCTCCTCCGAAGCCTCATGGCTCCGCTCCTCCGCCCAGCGCGAGGGAGGATGCTCCCGGCCCAGCTCCCCAGCTCTCTCCTCCTCTCCGCAGACTGCGAGTGCTACGGCCACTCCAACCGCTGCAGCTACATCGACTTCCTGAACGTGGTGACCTGCGTGAGCTGCAAGCACAACACGAGGGGCCAGCACTGCCAGCACTGCCGCCTGGGCTTCTACCGCAACAGCTCGGTGGAGCTGGATGACGAGAATGTATGCATAGGTGAGCGTTCCGGCGGCCTCGGGCTGAGGCACCGGGACGTGGGACGGCTCGTGCGGGACCTTGCTCTATAGGGTGGCCATCAGTTCAGCCCCTCTCTGGAGCGTGGTGTGTCCACCTGCATGCTCCCCAAAGACAGCAGCCGGTACGGTCTGTGCAGCCCACCAAGGCTTCTCTTGCCTGAAAACAAAGCCCCAGTACTATCTTTCCAACTTGATTCAGATGCATTGCTCTACCAGGAGCTGCTCAGCTCCAAAGGGGGGTGGTCTTTGCACCTGTGGCTGTTTGCACTGTTGGAGCCTCTGGTAAAACCATGCCCTCCCAGTCCCTTGGTCTCTAACAGCCCTCCCGTAGCATGCAGCCAGCCTTTTCCAAAGGCCTCAACACCTCCCTCGGGGCATTAGTGGGTACGAAGCCCCCAGGCAGGACAGGCACTAACAGCCCTGTCTTTGGCCAGAATGTAACTGCAACCAGATCAGCTCCGTGCACGACCGCTGCAACGAGACCGGCTACTGTGAATGCAAAGAAGGCGCCACGGGGCCCAAGTGTGACGACTGCCTGCCCAACTACTACTGGAGACAGGGCTGCTTCCGTAAGTACGCTGGCAGCATCATGTCCCCCTGAGCCAGGGGGACAGAGGGAGGTGTGAGATGGGTCCAAACAAGAGGGGGATCTTCAGCACCGCCTGCTCGGGTGCCCCGTGATGCTCAGGGTGTAGGGTGAGCAGACTCCAGCCATTCCTCCCAAATCCAAAATGACTTGATAGCTTTACCCCTGGAGTTTGCAGCCCCCACTGTGTTCCTCTGGCCTTGGGGCTGCTCTGGCACTACGAGGGCTGGACAATTTAACCCCCAGGAGCGAGAGAAGAAAGCCAAAAGCTTCTAGTTTCTGCTTCAGTCAAGGGGTTTAACATACCCCCAGATTAACGCCCACGTCCTTACCTCCCTCCCACCTCACAGCCAACGTCTGCGACGATGAGCTCCTGCTCTGCCAGAACGGCGGCACCTGCTACCAGAACCAGCGCTGCGTCTGCCCCGTGGGCTTCAAGGGGGTCCTGTGTCAGCAATCCAGGTGCGAAGCTGACAAAAAGGACTGCGACGGTGCCCCCAGCGCACGCGGCAGCCCCGGCACCATCCTCCTCGGGGTGCTCGCCCTCCAGCTGCGCGGCTGGGTGGACCTCTGAAGCCGCAGAGGAGGGAGCCCAGCCCAGGCACGTCACCCGAGGGACCTGGGGAGACTAAGGTAACGGGTGGCTCTCCCCACCGTCTCCTCCGCCTTCCTTCATGCTAGGACTTGCACAACGTCTTCTGGTCCACTTTCCAAGCAGAGAGGTATGCAGAAAATCAGGGGCTGACTCCTGCCCACGAACTCATCCTGGCAGCAGCCGGGGTGGCCACAGCACAGAGC